AGCTACTGATGCTCTTCTTTCTTATTGTTGGAGCTACTGATGCTCTTCTTTCTTATTGTTGGAGCTACTGATGCTCTTCTTTCTTATTGTTGGAGCTACTGATGCTCTTCTTTCTTATTGTTGAAGCTACTGATGGTCTTCTTTCACGTTGTTGGAGCTACTGATGCTCTTCTTTCTTATTGTTGAAGCTACTGATGCTCTTCTTTCTTATTGTTGGAGCTACTGATGGTCTTCTTTCTTATTGTTGGAGCTGCTGATGGTCTTCTTTCTTATTGTTGGAGCTACTGATGCTCTTCTTTCTTTTTGTTGGAGCTACTGATGCTCTTCTTTCTTATTGTTGGAGCTACTGATGCTCTTCTATCTTATTGTTGGACATTTTTTCCTTTGGCTGAAACCAATTATTGAATTCAGTGGTGATAAAATGGTTAAATATATAAAAAGAAAACTGCTTTTCTTTGATATCTTAAGACATTTAAAGTATTGGAGCAGGGAAATGTAGTTCTAACGTTTAGACTTTTTAAAGTACTACTGTTACTACTTGTAACATTCGACATTTTTAAACATTTACTTCTACTGTAAAACAAAGACTGTAAAATACTGTAGTTTTTATAAATGTAAAAATATCTATTGTCACACAGATGGTGCCTTATTATTTATGCCACGAAACATACCAGGTAAAGGTTCACATGGCTTTTGCCAGTGAAGGGTTTTTGTTTTSCTCTGGTGCATGGCTGTGAGCTCAGTCCACCCTGAGGGTTAATGTTTCACTTTCAATTCTTTATTCATTTCATTAAAACAAAACAAATAATTTTATATACAATTTACAATAAAAAGAAAAATATAAAAAGAAAAATGAGAAAAAATATATGTGTATATGAAAATCACCTATAAAATGAAATGAAAGGTAGCAGAGAGAAGAAAAAAATAATATAATATCCACCCCTTTTTTTCTAGAATAAGTTCATATAACAAAAAAAATCTGTTAACAAAACAAAAGACAAGAACATCTAATCCCTCTAGAACAACAATTCATATAGATTCACCTTAWACTGTTTCATATTTCTTTAACAATCCAGCTTTTATCATTTTCTTAAATGTACATAATGATCCTGTAGTTTTTACATCTCTCTCCAGATTATTCCATAGTTTTATTCCTTGAATTAAAGTACACRGTTCCTTCAAACTAGTTCTGAATCTGGGTTTTACAAATATCTCTGTCCCTTTAAGGTTATAACAACACTTTCTCTTAACAAATTTTACTTGGATGTTTAAAGGTAATGTGTTTTTGTGGGCCTTATACATAACCAGTAGAATATTATAATCAACCAAACCAAATCTTGGACAATATCTGATGATTGACTCTTTTAAATGAAACCAGAGAGCGTTGACAGAGAGGAGAAGGTAGAAATG